ATCACTGACAGTATTGTACTTCAGGATAGATTTTGCAATGTTCTTTTTCATGATGAATGCAACACCATTCATTTTCAATTTGTCATTCTCATAGTAGACCATATGATGGTCTGATTCAAAATGGCCAGTCCCAGTCCATTTCAGCTCAGTTATGCCTAGGATATCAATCTTCATGAATTCTATTTCATTTTGTCCCCTTACAATTTTCCTAGACTCATACTTTGTACATTCCACCTTCCAGTTGTTAATGAATGTTTGAAACTGTTTCTTCCCATTTTGAGTTGTGCCCCGTCAGGAGATGAAGATCCAGAAAGCTTTACTCCATCTATGTCATTGAGGTTGACTCTACTTTGAGGAGCAGCTCTTCCCCAGTCATATTATGTGCCTTCCAACCTGAAGAGCTCATCTTACAGCATTATATCAGACAGTGTTTCATGGCTATTCATAAAGTTTTCCAGTAATATATCAGACATTGTTTCACTGCTATTCACATGGTTTTCAGTAGCCAATTCTTTCAGAAGTCAATGGCCCCATTCTTCTTTCTAGTCTGTCGCAGTTTGGAAGCTCTGCTGGAACCTGTCCATGATGGGTGACCCTGCTGGTATTTGTACTACTGGTGGCAAGCCTTCAGCCTCACAGCAATATACAAGCCACCACAGTGCAAAAAACTGACAGATGAGTGGTGATTTCTCCTACTAGTTGGTATTTAATCCACTCCTTTATCCTTCCCTTTGAAGTTCAGGATTCCCTGATTATCCTCTGTATCTGTTTCAATTGGCTTCTTGTTTCTTTGTTGTAGAGGGTCTGGGTAGCTTGCCTGCCTATTTTGTCATCTTGCTGAAAGTCCCCTTAGGCTATTATCTTTCTATCTTCCTTTTACAATTAAAACAAAACAAAACAAAACAAAATACTTTTTTATTGTGCTTTGGGTGCAAATTTAACAGAGCAAATTTGTTTTACTTTTAATAGTTCATGCACATTTGATTTCACACTCTGATTACCACCCCTAAGCATAATAAACTCTCCTCCCTCCTCATTCCTGTGACTATCCCCTCCCTGTGCCCTTCACTATGCATTGGTGTCTGTCCAGCTTTCCCTGTGTGAATGCTGTGCCTTTGGTTTCTCGCGGCTGATTGCTGTTAGCAGTACATCTCCTTAGAGTTAGGTGAGTGCATCTCCCTAGGGTAGATGTCCTGCATGTAGGTCTTTCTACTGTTGGACTGAGAGCCAATCCGTGGAAGTGAGTCCCTTTCTAGGCCCAAAGGGTAACCTTGGGCCATAGTCTCAGGGGTTCCACCAGATTCTATCCAACCAGTAATTCTGGTCATTTTTGTGTTTTTGAATTCGTTGCACATTTTTTCACCCACTCTATCCAGAATCTCCAGTTTAGATCCTTTTCTGAGTGGTTGGCATTGGTAGCTGGGCACCATCTAGTTTGTCTGTTCTTGGGATCATGAAGGCTGAGGTCCTTGTGGTCCATGTTATCCTTGGACTAAATGTTTTCAGATACCTTTGATTTTCTTCATTCTTCTTGGATTCAGATGACAGGAGACCAATAGTTGTCTCTTAGATGGCTGCTTGAAAGCTTTTAAGACCCTAGTTGCTACTCACCAAAGTAGATTGTATAACAAGATTTTTATGTACTATGTTGTGCCAATTGAGCATGATGTCCCCTGAGACTATGGTTCCAAGTTGGCAGGCCTGGTTATTCTCTCTCTCAAGGTGTTTGGTTGTCTCCAAGAAGTTACTCCAACTCTGTCTTCTGTTGCTTCTGTAATGTGTGTGGCAATTTTGTAGCACAAGTGCATATGTAAGAGTATCTTCAGCCAAATCTATCCTTGGTCTAGGGTATATTCCTGTTCACCTACCTCAACCTGAACTTCTCACCTGTCTTATGCATTTATCTGTAGCCTGGTGTTTGGTGTTAGTGGTAATGCAGTATTGTGCATATACTAGTATTTGCCTTTGTTGTCTATATCTTATGTGCGTGTTTCAGTGTCCTTCCTTTCCCCAGTGTCATCATGCTAGTCACAGATGCTTTCCATACCATCCCTCCCCTCAATCAAATCAACATATGACCCCCAACTAATCTGAAATTTTCCTTCCCTTTCCCTCCCATCCCCAGTAACAAACAAAGGGAATTTCCCTCCCTAAGTAAAACCTTTCCTTGACTTTTTACAATAATGGGCTCATAAAATATTTTTCTTTCTGTGATTGACTTATCTTACTCAGCATAATGTCCTCCAAATTCATCCATGTTGTGAGATGATTTGTGTGTTCTTCATTATTGTTTAATTTTGCATAGTATTCCATTGTGTGATTGTACCATAGTTTGGTTATCCATTCATCGGTTGATGGGCATTTAGATCGTTTCCATCTCTTTGCTGTAGTGAATTGTGCTGTGATGAACATGGGTGTGCTTATGTATGTTCGTGTCCTGTCTTTTACCTCCTCAGGATATATTCCTACTAATAGAATTGCTGGTTCAAACATTATTTCTATTTTTAGTTTTTTTATGGAAATGACATACCATTTTCCATAATGATTATATGATTTTGCAATCCCACCAGCAGTGTATGAGAGTTCCTGTCTCTCTGCACCCTTGCCAGCATTTGTTATTTTCTGTCTTGTTGAACTTGCTATTATTGCTGGGGTGAGATGATAACTCATTGTTGTTTTTATTTGCATCTCTCTAATGGCTAATGATTGTGAGCACTTACTCATGTGTTTGTTGTCTGCCATTATATCTCCTTTAGTGAAGTATGTGTTCATGTCCTTGCCCATATTTGAATTGGATTGTTTGTCTTTTTGGTGTTGAGGTGTTGAAGTTTTCTATAAATTTTGGAGATAAGTCCCTTGTCAGATATATCATAGCCAAGTATTTTTTCCCATTTTGTAGGCTCTCTTTTTACCCTTTTGGAGAAGTCTTTCAATGTGCATAGGAGTTTAATTTTTAAAAGTCCCAGTCATCTAGCTTCTTTTCCACTCTAGGCTTTTATCTTTATGGGAATAGATTGCCAGGTCTTTTCTCTTGTGGAGCTACTGGTGGGTACGAATTGCTGACCTTTTGGTTAGCAGATCAGCATTAAGCCAGTGGGGCTCCTTATGGTACCTATTGTGGGCTAGAAACCCAGGCTAAATTTAAAGCTTACAGCTTCCTTCCCTTGGATAAAGGGTAGACCAGAATTGAATGGGCTTTTTAAATTGAGTCTTCCTTTAGTTCAATTCTTGGTGCTGAGATTGGATAGAACTAAATAGAATGACATTTTGGATGTAAGAAGATGGTTTTATGCTTTTTTGTATTTTTGTAAATATTATTAAATCTAGGTCTAGTGGTTCCTGGGAAGCAGACAGAGTTGTACCAGAGGGAGCTTGAGCAGTTAGGAGAGGGACAGTTTTTCTAGACCATGTTTCCTGATAGTGACAGAATGTCTCTTTGAAACAGAATTCATAAATCAGGATTGGAGACAGAAATGAATAGATATGTGAATTCATGAGTTGTCATGTTAATATCAACATGTAAAATTAGGTTATATAGAATGAGGGGATGTGGCCTTTGGAATGCATCTAAAATCCTTTCATATTCTCTGAGTATAGCAAACGTTAGTGCTTTTAGCCACAAGTTAGATCACCAGGCATCTTTCAATTTATTTTGTAAGTTCTTCAGAAAGAAGAGAGTACTTCACAAGCTTCAGATTCATTAGATCTAACACAATTCAACAAGCTTCTTTGTAGTTTCACAGAAAGTAGAGAGAATGAATAAGCAGACGCATGAATGCTGGCCCAGTTCATTAGGTGTCTATCTGTACCAGGGCCAGAAGAGACTGTCTACCAAATTGCTCCCTGGGATTTTTAGTAGCAGTGTCACTATTATTTTTTAAGGCTCTTCTACTATTACTGGCACATTTCCACATGTCACTGGAGCTTTCTCAACCTAAAACATTTTAAAAATTGAAGTATGTAAAAGTATATTCATATTAGGTTTATAGAATTTACCTTTTTGTTTGAGTGTTTGTTGAACTGGTTTCACAAATCCATTTGATAACTTATTGTGGTGGTTAAGTTTGTGTGTCAACTTAGCTGGGCCTGGTTGAGTGGCTGGACGGCTGAATGTAGTACTCCCCATGAAGAGGCTGGTAATTAAGTCCATGGTGGAATCTACTGGGAGCAGCTGAGAGCTGCCTTTGGGTATGTGGTCTGCTTCCCATATATAAGAAACAGTTTTGGGAATGGTCTTTAGCTTATGGCATACTTGAACCCTGCATTTGGCATGTTGTTGTTCAGCAGCTTGCCAACCTTGGGCCTTACAATGAACTTGAATTAATGGCCTGCCATGTGGTTTGGTAATACTGGGACTGTGCCATTTTATTTGTCGACCTTGGGCTTGTTAACCTCAGCAGCCAGTAGCTGCCTGAGTGAAGAGATGCTTCTAGCTTCAGTGGGCCAGAGCAAGAGGCAGAGCTGAAGCCCAAGGTTGAGGGGCTTTTGCACAGCCTCTAGAGCCTGGCACTTTGAACTGGGACTTCTAACCTCCCGAACTATAAGAGAATAATCTATTCCTGTTTATTCAAGCCATCCCATTTTTGTTATATTCTTGTCAGAGCAGCACTAGGTCACCAGAACATTTATATTTTTACTTTTTCTGTTTTTTCACCCCTCCTTTAATTCTCAGGATTCTTGATTTGTTGTTGGTATAATTCTTTTCAACAGACCACTGAATATCTTCTTCTTTATTAAAGGCTGAAAGGATGTATGTTATCGTTAAAGTCATTTGTAGCCATGGTTTTCACAAACACATGTTGTAATACTGCTGCTAAGGAAAGACTTCCATGTTTTAAATGTTCTAATTCATAAATATGTGAGATAGATTTGTGATTTGCAAATATATTTCATACTTCACTTGGACAAATAGTACATTCCTATTGTACCAAGATTGCATATCATTCCTTGGGTTATATGCAATTGCGTAAGATACTTTTATTTTTTTCCTTTTCCTGCAGAAGAACTTCCTCATTGGGTACTGTCAGCTATGAAGTGTTTGGCAAATTGTAAGTACTAATTACCTACCAATTTTATAAAATTAACAGAAATTAGTGCCCTGAATTGGAAGATATTTTCTGCTCGGTGGCCTGAGCACTGATTTGAAACCTGTGAGAATGACAGCTAACTGTTTTGATACAGACTACTGTGCTTTTATTTATAAATTTACTTGTGGCATAGTGAGAGGACTGAGTTATAGAAAAACTTAAAAGGAATTAAGTGCTTGTACTTTCTAGTAGATGTAATAATACTACAAATAATACTACTCCTTCTGACTGCTTCATCATAGAAGAGAAAGACATTAGTGATGTTGAATGTGCTATCGCAGCAGATTGCTGCCTGTTAACAGTTTAAGTTTACATTGCAGTTTTTATTCATAACTACTTACATGCATTCCCAAGGATCCTCTGTATTTATTGTATCAGTTTGCTCAACAGATCTTGTCTAAGGTAATCTTTCAAGTGAAAGAATACTGTTTTAGAAGATGATCTAACTGATAGGCAGGATGGTTTGGAAGGAGAAGAACCTACTTGCAGAGATATAAGAAAGGCTATTTTAGTAATTGGGAACTCTGGTGGTGTAGTGCCTGAGGCATTTAACTGCTAACCAGAAGGCTGGCGGTTCAAACCCACCAGCCACTCCTCAGAAGGAGGGTTGGGCAATCTACTTCCGCAGTGATACCACCTTGGAAACCCAAGGAGGGGTCGCTATGAGTCAGATCCGACTCGATGGCAGTGAGTTTGGTTTTTGGTTGGGTTTTAGTAATTTGAGTATAAGATGAGGCATCCTGGACCAGCATGGTTCTTCTGAGGATTTTTAGTAGACTTGGATGTAAGAGGTACTGCACAGGAATGAGTTAATATAGTATCTCACTAACACTGCCATTTTTCTGGAGATTTTCAGAAGGCTTACCCAAAAGAAGAGATTCTAATGGTTAATGGCTTAATCCCAAAAAAATGATTTTAGTGAGAGGAATTCCAGTTATTTTGGCAGATTGATAATGGTGATATTTGGTTTACAGTACCTTTTGTTGTTGTTGTTTTTGGTGCTATTAAGTTGATATTTTACTCATAGTGACCCCATGTGACAGACTAGAACTGCCCTACAGGGTTTTCTTGTCTGTAATCTTTATGAGAGAATATGGCCAGGTCTTTTTCCCCTTGAGCTGCTGGGTGGGTCCGGACTGCCAACCTTCTGGTTAGTAGCAAAGTGCTTAACTGTTTGCACCATCTGAGAACCTCACAAAATACCCCAGAGAGGTAGTTTCTTTCCTTTGGGTAGGACTATCATATAGACAGTATAGTTTTCTTGAATTAGTACATCCTGAATTGTTGACTTAACTGTAGTTAATTTTGTTTGAGGGAGCTCTGGTAGCATAATACTAAGGCACTTGACTGCTAACCAGAAGGCTGGCGGTTCAACCCACCAGCCACTCCTCAGAAGGAAGGTTGGGCAATCTACTTCCATAGTGATACTGTCTCGGAAACCCAAGGAGGGGTCGCTATGAATCGGGTCCAACTCTATGGCACATAACAACAACAACAACAATTTTGTTTGATTATACAATGGAACTCAATATACTGTGGGTAATTATAGTAGTGATAGATGGGAAATGATTAGATACTATCATTATGAATGTGATTAGCAATGTTAATTCATGTGAAGCATAAAGTCTTCTGAGTTTTAGTATTAAAATAGTCATTGATTTTTGGTTAATATTTTGGAAACTCTGAGATGCAAAATACTTTGATTTTAGTTTGAAGGAGTGCTTTTTATTCTTCCTGCACAATCACTTGAAATAAATTAACTTTAAATTATATCTTTGGCCAGAGACAGAAATGATAAGACAGAAGATAAAAATGGGAAGCTAAATTGCCCATTTACTAACTCCTGGAAAACCAAGGATTTGGAAGTTTATCAGCTGGGAATGAATAGAGGAAGCCACTATAACATATCTGGGCTATCTGGGCTATATTATATAGTAAAGGAGCTCTGGTAGCATAGTGGCTACAGCACTTGACTGCTAACCAGAAGGCTGGCGGTTCAAACCCACTAGCCACTCCTCAGAAGGAAGGTTGGGCAATCCTACTTCCGTTGTGATACTGCCTCGGAAACCCAAGGAGGGGTCGCTATGAGTCGGGGCCGACGCGACGGCACATAACAACAACAACAACAACAATTATATAGTAAAGTGTAGATTCAGATATGTTTGTGATGTTGAATTTCTAGTGATTACTAAATTGTAGTGCAAAGTATAATTTTCCCTATAGTTGGATGTATACATGAAACCTTAAACTTCTGCAGAAAGGTTATAATAACTGCAATTACATATCAATGGAGAGGAGGGATATAAGGAGTGACTTTGTAATGACCTTTACATGTGTGAAGTGGTTTTATATTAGGTGTAAATTCTTGGGAACAGGCAACATATCTGACATATGTAAAGTATAATGCTTTGTGAATGACTGGCATGCAATCAGATGTTTATTCATGTGTCAAAGGAAAAAAAAGAAAAAGATGGCCCAAAGGGCATTGGTAGCCTCTTGAGTAGCTGTGTTATAGTTAATTACATGGTATGGCTTTTCTAGCTATGGTCTTTGTAACTCCCACTTTGCCATGAGCAGCTGAGTAGCTGACTGTTAGTTATCCACCTGGTGTATTTCTGTTGAAGCAGCATGAAGCAATCTTCTGGGAAGTTCACTCTCAGATGTATAGAATTCTGATGTTGGGATTGGTTAGTTTTGCTGCTCTGCCAGGCTCAAAAAGAGCCCTACTAGAAACAGAAGGAATCTCTCTCTCTCTGACTGCTGGCTGAAAGAGACACACTGTTGAGAGAGACATGCTTGCTGAGAGAGAGACACGAGGGAGATGCACTGCTGAGAGAGAGACTGCCAACAGAGACTGAGAGAGACTGCTGACTGAGTGACATGGCTGGCTGTGAGAGATGGCTGGTAGAGAGAGACTGAGTGCATTCCTGAACTTGAATTGTAGCCTGTTGTTTCCCTAATAAACCCCATAATCTGTGAGTTCTGTGTGGCCATGGCAGAACATAATCTGTGAGTTCTGTGTGGCCATGGCAGAAATTATTGAACTTAGTAGAGGTGGTAGGTGCTGTGGGAGAGACAGTTGGTGTAAAGGTTGGTAAGAGGGCTGGAGGGTGGTGGCATGTCTGGCCTCATAAGAACAGACCTTGGGCTGCTGATGGTGATTCTGTCTTCCTCTTGTGTAGTTAGAGGAGGTTAGAAGATGTTGCCTCCCTGCCCTTTTAGCAGGAGCTTTATAAAAATCACTGATTTTTCCATTAGTGTATTTAGCCCCCCCAATTTACTTGGGCCTCATTAAAATTCTGACATGTTCCTCATCCTCCTAACTCTTAATTAGTCCAGAATCATCATAATCTTCTACAGTGTAATAGAAGGATAGGTAGATTATACATTTTGAAGGTCGTCTTTTCTGTAGCTGTGTTGACTCCTTTCCGTTTAGATGATCCTGCATTTATTGTAGGCCATGTGCCTGTCCTTTTGCTGTATGGATACATATGCTGTTTTTTAGCCAGCCTCCTGGTTAGACATAGAATGAGGGATTGATGCTTTGTAAATATTTCCTCTTTAATTTTTAAAAATCAGGTTAACTGTGTTTTTCTTCATTGTACATGTTGGTCACAAGAACTCATGCAAAAATGTATATGAACAAATCAAAGTATTTCTTGTCCAGAATGTCAGGAGTAACATTTGTAACAACTCTAGATTTAAAAATATTCATCCTGAGGTTTGAGATGATTAAGAAGCAAAACATCTTTAAAAATATGACCTTCTCTCATAGTGCTCATTATGCGCTAGCAGTTTTAGAGAAATTATTTTTTTTTATTGCACATTTCCAACATGGATGATGAAATATTCACAAAGGGATATAACTGCTTAGAATGAACCGCATACTTATCCTGGTAGGGAGTAATTCTAGCACTGTGTATTGCTTGCTGAGACATATCAAACTAATTATTTCAGTAGACTAAGCTTGGAATTTTTCAGAAGAGGAAACAAAAATTGGCAACATTTGCTCCTAGGTTAATGTGGTACCACATGCATTGATCTTTCATAATTTTCAATATTTTTGCCAATCAAATTGTTATTTATTTTTTTAAATATATTTTATTGAAATATAATTTATGTACAGTGAAATACACAAAACTAAAGTGACATGAGTCAGTGCATTTTTTTTTTTTTATTGCAGGGTTTCCTCCCCTCCCGTCCCACCCCTTGTAACCAACAAATAAAGTTTCCTTCCATATATAAAGCTTTCCTTGACTTTTTACAATAATGACCTAATACTATACTTGTCCTTCTATGATTGACTTATTTCACTCAGCATAGTATCTTCCAAGTTCATCTGTGTTATGTGGTGTTGTGCAGATTGTACATTATTCTTTAGTGTTGCATAGTATTCCATTGTGTGTATGTGCCATGGTTTTGGTAGACCTCTTTCATCGTCATAATCATTACATTTACTCAGCACCAGAAGAAGTACCTGTGAATGCTTTTGGAATTATGGCAGATGTGGATATCTGAGCCTGTTGTATATTTGGTTATGGCATGATCCATTTATTTATTTATTTATTATTTTTTAATTGTGATTTGGGTGAAAATTTACAGAGCAAATCCACTTTCCATACAGCAGTTCACATACACTTTGTCTCATGACATTGACCACAATTTACCACAATGCAACATCTCCCCTCCTACTTCCTCCCGATATTTACCTCTTCCCTGTGTCCATCCCTCCAGGTACTCCTGCCCACTGAGCTGTCTCCCTGTGCATAAGCAGCCCTTCTTTCTCCCATGATTGTTCTCTCCAAGGAGTGTATCTACCTCAGGTACATGTTCAACTCATATGCCTGTCTATTGTTTGGCTGGAAACCACAGGCTTCAATTACAGACCTGAAGGGCAGCTAAGGGCCATATTCTCAGTGGTTCCACCAGGCTCTAGGCATGATCCATTTATGATGAACCAT